GGCCTGCCCACCGTGTCTCCAACCCATCTCCACGGTTTCTGTCAATGGTGATCGGAGAAATTGATGGAAAGATTACGGTTTCGTATATATATGGGGAAATTCGTTTTCTGTTGATTAGGTATTCGTGTGAGAAAAATTATGAAATCAATAATGGATTTCGTTAAATTTTGATGCATTCGTTTTCCAATTAGATTAATATTCTTAAGAAATAAAGAAATAATAAAAATACTCTTATTATTTTTAGACTCGTCTATCTTGATTATCTGGTGTTGCATTATATATGTCACGTAAACTTTTTTTCTTTTATTGAAAAAATTTAAAATATTAAATTAATCGATATAATATTATCATGAGAAAGATGAAAAGATCAGATATATATATTCTTATATACAATCTTCATATTGTAATAATTGTTTATTAAAAATGGCAAATATATATTTATTTTATAAATTATTGTCTGATCATATACCGACAAATTTTACTAATTCAATTATCATTCTATCGATTAATTCAATAATTTTTAGTAATTGGAACATTTTTATTGAGTTTACAAGTAATACTCTGTACNCCCCCCGCTGCATTTTTCAGCCGTCGCTTCTACACATAACGTTATGCGGACCGCAAATCCATTTGATGGCCGCGCATTTGTACGGTCACGTAACGACGTAAATCCGAGCGGGCGAAACCGCCGAGGGATTTTTGCAAATTGCCAATCATTGATCGCGGTAAAGCAGATTGTCCCTGGCCAAGTGGAACCCTTCCCTATCCTGTTGTTTTTACTTTTCCGCGTGGAAATTCGGTTGCGGTTTTCATTACGTTCGAAGGAAGGGAGGGGTGATGGTGGAGGAGGAGGAGGAGGAGGGGAGAGAAGAGGGGGAGGGAAGGTTGCGGAAGAGGTGAGGTGAGGGTGATCAATATTTTTTCAAGGTTTCCACTTACGAAGGGGTAACCGGGGGTTAAAAATAAAATAAAATAAAACAGAATAAAACGAAAGGGGGGGAAGGAAAAAAAGAAAAAAAAAAAAAAAAAAAAAAAAAAAGTAAATTGGATCGGTCGAACGTGTAAAATTCTAGAATACACGATTGGGAATAAATACGATTTCAATTGGTAGATATTTGTGCATGTTTTTTATATTCTTTTAATTCGCTGATTTTTATTCAACGATGCGTTCGA